TCTCTCTCTCTCTCTCTCTCTCTCTCTCTCTCTCTGCCATAAAAAGACATAGATCTAACCCACATCCACAACAAAGAAAGTTTGCCCAAAATTTGCTTAATGTATTTATCTCTTCCGTTCAGGCCAAACCATTGACGTATACAGACAACTTCAACTATGGGACTGATGTCCGTGGTAAACCGCCCGGCTCCGTTGCTAAACGTTATGACCCTTTCCTTTGTTGTGCTGGTCCTCATCTACAACGCCAGCAAAGACAACATTTTATCGGCCTCACCCTGCCCAACACAGAACAGTCAACACAGGAGAAACGCTGCTCACCCATTCCGTAACTTGACAGTGCCCTCTGGGAACCCAGGAAGCGCCAGAGCTCCCTTATCGACATCGTCAAGAAAGACATATCCCCACATAGAACGAGAACCTCCGCCCAACTCAAGACATAAAGAGGGATTTGATCTGGAATACTTAGATCGCGAAGTCCATATAGCGATGGAAACAAAAAAGGCTGCAATACGTTTACTAGATTCTCCTATCTTAAACCAACATCACATGACGTATTTGGTCGGACGCGAGCAGAAATGTACGAATATGACTCCTGAAATTATCATAACGGTTCCGTCTAAGTGGGATAATTTCGAAAAAAGGCGAAAGGTGAGAAACGGCAATCAAGGAAAATACGCCAGAGTACATTCTAAGGACGCACTTTTGCTTTTCTTTGTGGGACTTCCTCCAGCGGACATGGAAAAGAATCAAACAGAAAAGTGGGCCAAACTACAGGAGGAGAGTGAGAAATACACTGATGTTGTCATTGCAAATTTTGAGGACAAGTATAGAAACATTTTGTTGAAGCACTTGTCCATGCTTCAATGGACGATCCGCTTTTGTCCCAAGACCAAATTTGTGCTTAGAACCGATGATGACGTGGGCATTAAAACTGACCTTATGATGGCTTCTATGCGTCGACATAGAGATGTGCGGCAAAATTTCATTCTTGGAACGCAACGTGTTGGTGACTCTCCATCTCGGAGAGCAGATCGACCTCGTTTTTATCTCTCCAAAGAAGAGTATGAACCCGATACATTCCCGCCCTACGTATTGGGAGGAGCAATAGGCTACCCCGTGTCCACTGTCAAGCTGCTGTACGAGGTGGCCAGAAGGACACAGAGCGTGTGGTTAGATGATGTTTATATGACTGGGATCTGCGCCACCGCCCTGGGTATTCCCACGTTTAACGAGAGGAGCTTTCAATTCACACACTAACCCAGGAGTCACGTCAACCTTCTTGTAGTGTAATGATGATTGCGTAATTTCTTTTTGTGTCATAGCACATGGGAGTACGTTTGTGTGTATGTGTGTGCTTGTGTGTGTGTATGTGTGTGTATGTGTGTGTGTGTGTGTGTGTGTGTGTGTGTGTGTGTGTGTGTTTGTCTGCCTGTGTGAGTGTGTTCGTTTATGTGTTATGGTGTGTGCGCTTGTTTTGCGTACATGTATGAATGTGTGTAATGTGTGTGTGCTCATGTGTGTCGGTATGTACTTCTTTCGGATTAGACAGGCTGTTTATAATATAAGTACCACTCAGAATTGTCTTTACGTGAAGTTCCGTTTACTTACGTTTTTAGAGTGAAGATTAAACCATGCTTTTTGGGGAAATGGTGGGTGATGGGTTGGATATGGAGTGGCAGGAAAGTGAGAGGCAAAGAGAGAAAGAGAGAGAGCCCAAGAAAGGGGAGAGCCGAAGGGAGGGGTGGAGGGAGAGAGAGAAAAAAAAAAGAGAGAAAGGGAGGGAGAGAGAAAGATAGATAATAATATGCATGTACGATATATTTATATATATATATAGGCCTTTATAGTGCGTGTGTGTGTGGGGTGGGGGGGGGGGGGGTCCCTGCCGGTCAATATCAGTCGTATGAAGGATTGAAGGAATTTCAAAACTGAGTTAACATTATTTTCAGAAACTATCACCTTTTCCCTACAAATAACAATGAAGTAAATATGACCATATTTGACGAAAATACGGAACTTGTAATTGTGCGAGGCGAGGAAACTCGAAAAGGAGAAAATGGCCTCCGAAGTTGAGCAACATGTTTCCATAGCAATGGGGGTCTTAGAACTGAGATAGAGACTTGAAATTTGGAAGTTTTCTTGACTTTGCCATTACAAGGTATCATACAGAAGTAGAAAACTATTCATTTACAGGGGAAAAGATTAAGGACAAAACAAAATTTTCACGAGAATGGACTTCACGTCAAATGCAACAAAATATTAGCATTATACTAAGAACCGGATACTGAATTTTCAAAGTAGCTGTATGTCAAATTCATCTGTTTCATATGAAAGGACTATGTCTCCTGAGAATTTTGGTACCATACTTTTACCTCTCAATCAATGCTTAAGAGAATGACAGCTGTTTCAATTTAACATAATAATCAAATATTGCTGTAGTCGCTAACTGGCTGCAACCCATGATTGACAGATAATAAAAGAGTACCAAGAGCACCAAACATCTCTACATTAATTGTTTTTCAAGACTCTGAGATCATTACAAATCAGTATTATATTGTCTCAAACATGATGGTCTGTGCTTATTTCAATAAAAACACCGAGCGCTGTCCCGGCCGTTGCCGCATCGGTCCCCACGAGTCGGCACGGCTCTAACTGTAGTATACTGAGTGCTACCCGGAGTTTCGCGGAAGAATTGAGGCAAAATAATTCCAGGCCGATGACTTTATTCCTATACAAAAAAGTGTTCTTTTAATTGGTATCTTTTCTGTTTTACACATTTCGTGTTAAAAATGATCTTTGAAAACTTTTTTCAAGGTTTTCTATCCAAACGCCAAAGGCCACAAATAATAACCGCGGGAAACCACGCTCAAAGCTGTATAGTTCTCCGCCAATGAAAAGACGGTTTTAATCTTCAATCTTTCTGCAATGCCTTCGAATGCATGAGTGTCAGTTTTGAACCGGGGGACCTCGCATTCCGACCGCGAGGGGCTTCCCTTTCTACGGCGATTCTCCAGTTTCAAATACTCGGATATACAAACACTATTGTAACGAAGAAAATCGGAACTTTTTCAAAGTGTTCAGCATATTATGGTGTTTTATAGCAAAAGAACAAAGAAACAGAGATCTGAATTACCCCCATTTTACCGAAACCACGCGCTGGGAAGGCCGCGAGTCGGCTTACGAGCCCTGTTTACGCTACCTTATTATACGTTTGCATAAACACACGAGAGCACGATCACACACACACACACACACACA